TTGATGCTAAAGAGAACTAGCCAGTTCTTTGTGGTTTTTAAATACAATTCAGCATTTATAGACTTTTTAAATTGATTTATTCATATGTCTTTAGAGCTTTTCTCTAATTGTGTTTGTGTTCCTGTTTTGACAAATACAAGTTTATATTGGTGTGTTATAATGGACTTTAAACTTAACCCCACACACTTGAAGAAGAGCCAGGCCATCTGGCTCTGAATGGGGTTAATAGACAACAGCGGCTTTGAAAAATCAACAGCAGTCACACATTTATTTCGGCTTTGAAATATTTAGTTGTTTAGAAGGATAAAAGCTTTGAACAACAGAATCACAGCAGTTTTGAATTCATTCCCAGTGCTAAGAGAAAATATTGCAGACAAAATGCACAGAATTGCCATTTCCTTCTCAAAATAGTCTGATCTCTTAGTGTGATTTGGACAGTGGTGCACATTGCTTAATACCTTTCACACACTTCATTATGCTAGAATGTTTTTCATGGCTGGAAATGTATCTCTCATGCTATGAGAATTCCTCTTCCTTGTGGAAAAAGCATGGGGTCCATTATGTACCCTCTGATTCAACTGAAACATACAGTACATGGAATCATCTATTGCTCAAACCTTTTCTACTTTAGAGAAAAATACTAATTTTCAGATAAATTTATTAAACCTTTATACTTGTTACCATGTTAACAACAGTAGTATGACAGCAGGCAAACAGTAAGCTCCATAAAGTTCATGCATATAATTGTTTATGATTAAATTGAACTTGCTGCTTGCCACTAACTCCAGGAATGCATATTATGTCAATCTGGAGGTGGAAATCAAGTCAATAGGATGTGCCTGATTTTACAGCCTTAGGGAATGAGAACATTATTTCATATCTATACCAGATCTTTGAACAGAACTTCATTACAACTGTTTTTTTCCAAAAAGAACAAGCTACCAACTATCTTTTATTCACCTATGTCCCATCAAGGCAGTCCAATGTATCCGAGTTTATGTACCAGAGATTTTTATCCTTCATGTTATTTTTGCATATTTTTATATTGACTTCTGTATATGCTCATTATGCATTATATTAACTTGTGAAACATTTTAAATCCATCATTCCAACCTAACACATGGGAAAAGGTGGTGCCCCTGAATACTTAAAAACAAACAAAAAAAAAAAGAGTGTCTCTGTTGTGGATGTTGATTGTTATATTCATCTTTATGTGACACCTGTGTAAATGTTCTTCTAAGACTCAGAACACTTACTATCTTCCATCTTTATTTTTTATTTATCTTCTACCTTTTTTCACCCAACATAAAAGAAGTAAGCGACACCAAGTTTGGGAAAGATTCTACTTTCTATGCTTTATCTCCATTGCAGCCCTGAGACATGTAGCGCAGCACTCATCCTGAGTTGAACAATAGCTACACATAGTTGTTCTGGTTTTGTGTTGTTGTTGTCTAGAAAATGTGTTCATTAATAGTTTAAAACTGTTTCAAAGCTGTAGTTTATATATAATGTGCATACTGTATAATTCTTACTGCTCACTCAAACCTCAAATGCAATGATAGATATTTACAATCTACCCTCCCAAACTACTGTAGGCAATATCTCAACCCCCTAGGAGTCCCATTTTTTTTTCCAATATCCAATTTGTTAATCTAAGTTTTTGCACATTAAATCAGAATAAGCAAATGTTTACAAAATGCATATATGGGTGCTATAAATCACAGTAGTTAGTATCTCTTTGACCCCAAAAACAAAACAAAAAAAAAAACACACTAAAAAGAACAGTTATATATTACAGAAAATTACATTGTATTTCATTTATTTATTTTCAATTTTCAATTGCATCTAGTCTACTCCAATTATTTTTGAACAATCCTGAAGTTTAAAGCTTACTGCACTGCTTACGGCATACATTTTTCAGAGCCTATCTTCTGAACTACTGAGGGTTGGATAGGAGAAGTTTCAGGAGTCAGATTCAGTACATGAATCACAGCTTGCAGATAGCAAAGCGCCATAGGTGGATCTTGTGACTAAACAGTGAATAAACAGTGTAACCAGTCACCTGCCACCTGTCTCACCTGTCTGTGTCACCAGTACTGCCAGTAACACTACACCTTATTACTAGCTACCGCAGTCAGTGTCACCAGTCCATTGTTGCTAGCCAGTATCCCTGATTGCAATGACGCCAGACCAGTACATTCCAGCGCCAATGTCCTAATCACTGCCATACCAGTGTTCGGATCATCTCCACACATTCCCACACAAATGTCTTAATCACAACCATACCATTGTTCATAATATATCTCCCCCCATGTGCCCCTTCCCTGACCTCTCTGTAAAGATCAATGGCCCAATCATTAACCTGTCCCCCATGCCAGGGTGCTAGGTGTAATCCTGACCTTTGAACTCTTCTTTCGGCCCAACATCCAATCACTGGCCAAAGCTTGCTGCCTCAACCTCCGCAAAATCTCCAAAATACTCCCCTTCCTACCCAATTAGATCACAAGGCTTTTAATTCACTCCTTGATGATATCTCTCCTCAAGTACTGCAAATCCCTTCTCATTGGACTACCTTTACATAGGATATTCTCCCTTCAGCTCATCATGAATTCTGCTGCCAGACTCAACCACCTTACCAACCATTCAGTTTCTTTTACCCCTCTCTTACAATCCCTCCATTGACTGTCACTCACCCAATGAATTAAATTAAACATACTTACAATAACTTACAAAGCCATCTACAATTCGGCCCCCAGTCTCAAAATACCAGCCAAATCATTTTTTTAATTCTTCCCAAGACATCATGTTCTCTAGTTCTCTTATCACCTCCAGAACTTTTCCCAAGCCTCTCCCATCCTATGGAACCCCCTACCCCAATCTGTCCAGCTATTTCCTACTCTGTCCACTTTTAGGTGATTCTTGAAAACCCTTCTCTTCAGTGTAGCTTATCCTGCCTTCACCTAACAGTGTATTTCTACTTTCTCCATCAGTTCATCCCTTACAGTTATTACCTTTTGTATCACTTGACCCTCCCTCTTAGATTGTAAGCTCTAATGAGCAAGGCCCTATGATTCCTCCTGTATTGAATTGTATTGTAACTGTACTGTCTGCCGTCATGTTGTAAAGTGCTGTGCAAACAGTTGGCACTATATACTTCCTGTATTATAATAATAATAATAATAATAATACCAGTGTCCTGACTGCTGCCATACCAGTGCCATTGTCAACAGAGTCAGTGAAGTCAGCAATATATTTCTGACTGCTTGTCATACCAGAGTCAGCATAGCCATTAAAGCCAGCATTACTGATCATTGCTGCACTAGTGCCAGTGAAAACAGAGTCAGTAAAATCAACAATACTGTTCTGATCGCTAGTCACTTCAATGTCATCAGAGCTGTTCAAGCGAGCACCAGTGTCCTGATCAGTGCCATACCAGTATTAGTAGAGCCAGTGTCCCTGATTTCAGTTATGCCAGATCAGTATACACCAGTACCAGTGTCCTGATTAGTGCCATTGTCAACAGGGTCAGTGAAGCCAACAAAACTGTTCGGATTGCTAACACGCCAGTATCAGCAGAGCCATTCAAGCCAGCACCAGTGTCCTGATCAACACCATACCAGTGCCACTGTCAACAGAGTTAGTGAAGCCAACAATACTGTTCTGACCACTAGTCAGTAGAGCAATTCAAGCCAGTAACAGTGTTCTGATCACTGTCACACCAGCACAGTGTAACCAGAACCTGATTTTTTTTTCAATTCTGAGCACAACAATTGAGTGTAGTGGGGGAGATCTCACTGTCAGATCTGGATTCTGAATATGAACCCATAGTGAGCAGCCGTTCAGTAACCACCTCTGATTCAAAGGAGTGAAAGGTCCCTGCAAAAAGAATTAGGTGTTAAGAACAGTAGCAGGCAAGCACCAGCAGAGCACTACACCCTGGTGAAGTGGCGAGTGCTAACAGCACATTACATTGAGATGAAGTACAAGTAGTGAGGTGTCACATCAACCACAAAGGATTAGGGCCCATAATAGTGTCCCAGAGTCACTTTCAAATCCCATATGGAAAGCTTCTAATTCAACAGCACCTAGCATCTATGTACAGCTCAACCAAGAATTCAGGCACAAACTTAAAATTGTACACCAATTGTAGACCATTGTAATCTATATGCCCAGCAGTACATCACCAATTATCACAGTTCCTTTTTTGCCCTTCCATTTGAGTGGAAGCCCATCACAGTTGGAGCATTTAAAATCTTTCTTGGCCTAACTCTAAATATGGGACTCAAAATACAAAATACTGTATTGCATACTGTCTCTGCCTGCTGCCTGAACTGACCCTGTCCTGTTAGTTGACCACGTTTCTGCCTGCTGTTTTAATTGATCGTTTACCTGTCTACTAACCACATCTCTGCCTTCCACCTGAACCAATACTATTTGACATATGTCACTTTATAGAACATGCAGTATAGAGGAAAACACAGAATATAATGGTATCACAGAATCACAGTACAAAACGTTATCAAAGTCTAAAAATGTCTCTCTCATTGCCACCTTGACTTTACATATACTAAGCATCATTTTCTTCACAAATACTTTAGGCTTTGATCCACTTTTGTACCATGTGTGATGCCTATTTGCTACTATACTGCATATTTTATACTGTTACATGTGATATTAAACAGTATTTTCAGGTGGACACTGTTGCCTAATTATACTTCTAAACATATTTGCTCAGTACATATCTGCTCTTTTGGTTTACTTCTTTAATTTTATATAGTTTAACATCCATACTTAGACACTAAATCAAAATATTTGTGGATTACTTTTCCCTCACCCTAAATCATATACTGGTCTGCAATTGTCTGAAAGGATTGGCTACCACCACACTCTGATTTTAAATAATTGTAGTTAAAAAAAAGCAAAAACTTTGCTACTGGGAACTGGTGTGGTATTAAATATGTTCTAATACAATATCACCCACTGTCAACTCCTCCAACTCATACCCCTCCCCCCAAGTGGAAAAATCTATTTCATAATATCATGGGGCCCCTGTGTCCTTGCCCAAACTCAAAAAAGCCTATGAAAAAGGTACCAGGGGCATCTCATGGGGCCCCCTACTGACCCGGGCCCTTGGGCAGTGCCCAAGTTTCCAAATGGTCAGTCTGCCCCTGTATTGTAGTACACCTGTTGTGGGTTTTATAATTTGAACTGTTGACCTGAGGGAATCTTTATTTTTTGCATAAAAACATTCATGTTATATGTGTTCTTGTGCAACCATTGCATCTTCTAAAGTATTCCAAAACACAGAGTGCATTATCCTATGTGAGATTTATTTATAATCTGGATTAAAATTTACTCACAAACAAATATATTTTAATGTGGATTATAAATAAATGTCACATGGGATAATGCATTAGGCTGGTGCACCTTTTTTCTGTTTGTGTTTTCATAGTCAGTTTCTGGGACCTCTCCAGTCATTAGAAGGCAGCAAAGCTTGGAGTAGTTTTGTCCTGCATTGAGAAGCAGATACATATGAAAAACTGTTACTAGACTATCACACTCATGTGCAGGAGGTGTTGTGTTGTGTATACTCCAATTCCCATTACCCACTTCTCATTTTTTTCTACACTACTACCCTTTAAGGCCCCTTTCATATGGGGCAGAATCCGGTTTGATCAGCAGGGGATCTGGCCGCTGATTCCCTGCTGAGCAGAGAAGAGCAGAGCAGAGCAGAAGATGACAGGTACATGTTCACTCTTTCTGCAGAGTGGACATGGACATATCCCTGCTGTGCTCCTTGCATTTAGCAAATCACTTTTAACAAGAATATTTATATGACCTAGAGGATATGAGGCAACCCCTCTTTTTTTTTTGTTCTTTCTCTCTTTTCCCACAAACTCCTTCCATAACCTAACCCACTTTCCTCCTCCTTCACCAGGACTATTCCTCTTCCAACATTTATTTTTTTTCTCCTCTTTCCTACCTTACTACACAATGCATATACTACTGCAAAAAGGAAACATCAAAATATAACCCAACTCAAAGATGGTTTTGTCTTATCATTCAACCATATCCTTCCCTTGGTTACTACTATGATCCTATATTATAAATGCTTAAAATAAAAGTTGCATATACTAATAATCTTTATTATTCCATTATTTGTGTGCTCACCAACGTCTATGTCATAGTACTGAATGGATCTTCACATTTTCCCATCTGAATGTATTTATTGTAATGTTTTCAGATAAGAATTATCAAAAAACATTTTACTCCAATTCGGAGCATACCTTAAGATTTTAGTTTTGATTGGTGGCTGTTTTTAAAGCTTTGTGTTTTTTTAAATTGGTTTCCAAACCTATTCTGTGCAAAAACAATGAAAAGCAGCACTCACCCTCTTTCACCCTCACTCACCTTTTCTGTGCTTTATTGCTGCTCCATCCTCTGTGGCCCAGTGCCAGTCCTCTTTTTGTTTGAACTATTCTCCTTGTCATTCAACCCACTTTCTGTTTGCCTAAGGCATTAAGGACATGTTCCCTGGGGATCAAGGGCGGACTGACAATGTATGGGGCCCCCGTCCAATAGGGGATCATGGGGCCCGTGTCCTTGCCTACACTCAAAAAAGCCTATAAAAAAGGTACCGGGGCATTTCATGGAGCCCCCAACAGACCCGGACCCTCGGGCAGTGCCCGAGTGCTCGAATGGTCAGTCCGCCCCTGCTGGGGATGCATTATTAAGCTAATCAAAACTTACAGAAGAACTCTGTACAGAGTGATGCCACATCTTTAACAGTATCTGCATGCCACCAGAGGAAGAAGAGGAGGTAGATGGCCCATAATATCAGATCCCTAGACTAAAAGCACACTGAATAAAAGGTGTTTATAAAACACCTTGCGGGGGGGTGGGGAGGGCTTGGGGGCAATCAATGAGGGGTGGTTTCAAACTGGAATTGGGCTTTAAAACAGAGTAAGTTACCCAGGTCTCACTAATCTAAAGACATTTGCTATCCACAAGTTGAATCTCCAGATTGTTTTTTATGTTGAATGAAGAACATTCTTAAGGTCAGTTGCATTAAATTTAAGGGCATTCCAAGGCATGCATGCAATTTGACTGCAATAGGTAAACCAATGGAAAATGCAGTGAATCTACTATAGGAGCAAGGGGTCCTGATTTTGAGAAATCCTAACTTAAACTGGGCATGTTTCCATGTTTGCAAGGCACATAAACTGATGTTTTTTTGTTTATTAATCAGTGGGAATATCATCCACCTGCTTCTACTGTGTGTGGATTATGTCCATATAATCCGATAATATAATTTATGACATGTATTATATATATATATATATATATATATATATATATATATATATATATATACACACACAGTATATATATATTTCAGTGACTAAAGATTTTATATTTTGACTACTATTGTGATCTTGTATTGTGGTATAAAACTATAGCCTGTTTTAAATGAATGCGTAAAATATTGGTTCTTCATTTGTTTATAATTATTATAATAAACATTATATAATAAATTATGAATCACCAGTGAAAAATGAAGCAAATAGTCTATAGCACATCAAACTGTCTCTGTGACAGCAGCTCAATGTTTCACAGTGCATTTTTGTGTTTCACATTCCTGAACAAAATAGTGTTCTCTTGAAATGAAATAAGCCTGGAGTGCTCTAATGTCTATTATCTGATCTGTTCCTTAACACAGGTCACATGGTATGCTGACAGTTCTGCAGACTCTTCAGGCAGAAATGTCCAGTTTCACATTTATCAATGGTCAGACTGGTAGTTTATCCTGAAGACTCCTTGATGCCTAGTTTGCAGCTTTTTTTCTTTTAAAGAGAAATATGTCTATTCCCTGAGTGTGTGTGTGTGTGTGTGTCTGTGTGTGTGTGAGGGAGAGTCATTACAAGTGGTAAATGCTCATTGGGTTTAAGGGGGAGCTAAAAAAGACTGCTATACTTACTTTACACCCACTCCAGCCAGCTCTAGCTCTTTCCACCTCTACCTCTGGTGTGAATGCAGCCATTAGTGCCTTTAAATAGAAGGTTTTGCTGGACCAGTCGCATTGCTTGAGTAACCCTGCCAGAGCGAGGAATAGGGTAAGTATTTCACTCTATTCCTACACCCCTGGGCTGAATTGACTGGTAACCCTTGCAGTGCCAGGGGTGGTCATTGCAAGGGTAGATTTTTTTTTTAATTCCTGAAGTTGGGACTTAAAGGATAGAAAAGCAACTAACCTAATTTGACTAAAATATTACACATTATGTTTTTTCCATATGTTTGCATCAACTGGTCAGATTGTTATAATAGTGACTCCTAATAAAGAGAACATGCTTCAACCTCATAATGCACAGAAAACTTCAATAACTTTAACCGCGTTCCTTAATCTCTACTCTGCTTGCTGATTATATAACAAATGAGTTAAAATTATTGATTGTGTCCATGTGTAAAATCAACCACAGCAATTAGTAAGTATATTATTAGTGATTTTATTTTGCTACCTGGTAGTATCTATTTTTGTCTTTTGCTTTGCATTTTGCAACTCCTAAAGCTAATGCTACGTCCGGAGTGGTAATGTCCTAGAACTAACACAATTCAGTCAGAGAAAGCTTCCACCGGAAGCATTAAAAATAGGTAGTTGGTGTCGTAACAGCTTTCTTTTAAAAATCTTTTTTGATACAACACTACCAATGGAGAATTTTTAAATGAAATGTCCAGGCTTAATGAAGGCTCATGTTTCAGCAAAGGGTAGAGGGGAAAATTAGACCTTGCATTTTAGGTGCAAGGTCTATTTTAAATAGAAGCAGAAAAGTACAATTTAAAATTTGAAAAATTATGACTGCAGCATAATGCAAACATGTATGTTAAGACCACATTGTGTAAATAAAGTATTACGCATGCTTACAACCCATATGAATTCAAAGGAAACATCAGTACAGAATAAAGACGTAGTTCACATGTCTTGGGGGAATAGCAGAAAGTAGCTTCACAGAGACTGTTTCTGCATCATGTTGCCATCATCCATTCCTTTCCTGTCTAATGCAGCAAGTTAAAAAGACACTTTTGGGTTTATTATAGAGCCCCCCTGGGAGTTAAAGGGACAAGATGAACGTGTTTTATAGCACCATCATTTCTGTCTCCTATTTGACCTGCTGTGACATGTTTCAAGCACAAAGTGTTAGACTTGATGGGGAAGTGGAGAAATTAAGCCTATATCATTGTAAGGGATCGTTTGGGGAAAGCTAGTCTTTCAAGTCCCACAGGATACCTGTTCCTCTCACTGAAAATTGGCAAGTGGAAGTGAAAATTATTTTGCTGTAGAATATTTCTGCATTAAATTACCACTTACTATCAATATTGTTACACCTACATCAGCAGGAAAGGTGAGAATATTTATACGAAACAAAGGAATGAGACACAGATAAAATGCAACACCTCTCTAACTGAAGAGACAACATAAAAATACATATAAAAATGTTAAGCATTAAACTATTCATAGCCTAATTTACAATAATAAATTTAATATTCACCTGAAAACAAACATTTTAACCTTTTACTGCCAAGGCTAGCTCACTTAACACGTTTTGGATGTCCAGGTCAGTTCTGTGCTAAAAGCTTCACGTAATACCCTTAAACCATACATTTTCTTAATGCAAAAGGCCAACACAGGGAAAAAAAAAAACTAATTTCAAAAACACCAATATTGGGTAACAAAAAATATACTCAAAAATTATGATTAGTACATATAAACAAAATGGAGTTGAAATATTAAAGGGATAGAGGCTATTTACTTAGCAAATTGAGTTTCAACTAAGTGCATTTTCACTTTGCTTAGTAAATACATGAAAATCCAAAAATGTGAAAACAAAAGGAAAAAAAAACATTTTAAATTTTTTGCACGCGATTGCATGATTGGAGTCAGCACAGCTTCACTTAATTTACTAAGCTAAGTGAACAGCATCTGTTTATTTAGTAAATCAGCCCCAATGGGCCCTATTTTTAATACTGTACTAATTGAATCACAGCCGCTATGATAGATTCACTGCCATTCACCAGTAGCCTTTACAACATTTGATGTTAATAAATGTTAAACCAATAAGTTTTTAATGCAAAAGAGGAGCATTTTGCAAGTGAATTTGCATCAAATATACAGTAAATCATTGTAAATAGTGTGAACAGGATATAGAAGGATCTGATTTAGTCTATTGTCCTATTGCCTTTTTAACCATAGTGATAAGCCCCTAGTTATGGTTTTTGTTAAGTTTTGTGTGTAAGTGGGGGATAAAAGGAAGTAGTTTTAAGGCATTAGTAATCTTGATATATTTTTTGTAATATAATTACATTTACATATATAGGAAGATCTATCATAATATGGACAGAAATATAGCCAAGGGATACAGAACAGGACACAGAGGTCCAGGAACAATCAACTCAAAAGTGGGACTGTCCAAGCAAATCCAGCACAGTTGGCAAGTACGTATATAGCCAAGTGTTTGGAGTGCCCTGGTTAAGAGTATTAAATGCACTACAAAGTGTATATAGTGCAAGACTCAAGAGTGTGTATCTTGTAGGCCAGTGAAAACCCAAAAGTTACCCTCCCCACCACAGTACAGATCTCTCCCCCCAAAGACCTATGCAGCAGATTATGAGAAATGTAGACCTGTTTATTCAGATAAGAGAAATGCTAAGAGTTGTAGATCCCTTTGTAATGCCAGTGATGGGAGATACAGTATGTTGCCATGAAGCAGTACAGATATGAGGAATGTTGGAAGCCGTACTCCACACATAAGAATATATACAACTTGCTGGGTGTCAGGGAGGGCTTGCCCATAGTGTGCACAGTGTTCTCAGGCGAATACGTGTGGAAAATGTGCACAAGCGTGTTCATCTACAAATGCACCTGTCTGCATACCTTTCCAGGCAAGTGCCTGTCACTAATACTGGCTCTAAATGAGCTATTTAAACAGGGCTATGGCATTGGCTTATTGCTGTTTGATCTACAGTGTTCTGTGTGCTTTGTTATATGATTCCTGTGCTTGACCTTGGATCCTGACCCAGCTTTCATCTGGCCATGCTTGTTTGCTACCTGCCCTGACTTGGGCTTGTCTATGGATTCTGATTCTGCCTCCTGCTTTGCCTGATCTGCTTCAGTGTTGTTGATGCTGGCCTGTGACTTGACTATTTACCTGTGTGCTACTTATGGCTGATCTGACTGTCTGTTACTAACCCTGCTAGTCTGACTCTGCACCTTGCCCATCCAGCCTGCTACAGCTCCTCTAGTCCAGTATACTCTCATTTGGCATCTGCTGTCCCCCAAGATTCTGCAGCCAGTCTCCAGCCAGCGCTTCGCCTGCTGCACCTGCCTGCTGTCACCTGCTCCTATCCCCTGTCTTCCAACCAGTAGCGTATCAGCCACCACCTTCGCAGACTACAGGACTCATTACAAGCACTCATACCTCACCATGCTCTAGCGGCCACTGTTCAAAGATCAGTGGTCCCTGAGGCAGAGCTGTACCTTCCACTTGACAACAGGCTCAATAACCAGGTACATGACACTGGGGGGTTTAGTTAAGCAGTAACAGGTACTCTTACCAGCACAGTTAATCCATATGTTGGTTCAGTCTCCTCTCATAAAGACTTTGGGGGGGGGGGCATAGAAAAATTAGAGCCTGTAACACTTTTCCTCCTCAAATTGCAGTGCAACCAAA